GAAGGGGTTATCAGAGAAAATACAAAGGATCTACAGTCCATATAACATCAGGACAACCTTCAAAAGCTTGACGACACTTCGCAGATATCTCTCCTGAGTAAGACCGCCCCCATAGAGGAGAACATGACTAAAGTCTGTGTGTACGCTATCCCGTGCAGCTGCGGAAAGAAATATAAAGGTAAGGCTTCAAGAACACTAGAGAGCTGTAACACGAGGGCAAGTGGAAAGATCAGGCGTGGTTGACGACATACGGAGAGAGAAGGGAGATCACCGCCCTCTGTGAGATCCGGTTGAAATCATAGACAAGGAACACCATCGGAAAATTCGTAAACTTAAGGAATCAGGCTAGGCCACAAAAATCTCCTGAGCCGACCAAGCATAGAAATGAATGCAATATGGGAACCACTAATAAGGAGTACCAGAGAAAAGAAATAATAAAACACAAAAGTTGCAATATGAGCTCTGGTAAAAAAAAAAAATGCAATGATAACAGCAAAAAAAGTTGCAATATGAGCATTGGTAAAAATGTTTGCTGAGACATTAGGTTTTTAATACACAGAAATTCAAGGACACATGGCACAGTGGATAAAGGCGTTGGTTAGATCCAGTGACAGGACCCAAAGTGTGTGAGTTCAATAGTTGCTTAAGGCAGTGGAGAATAACTGATAACTGACATCCATTATACAGTCTACCCCAGTGAGCGAAATAAAGGGTTCAGTTCGACATTCCAACCAGCTGAAGAAGGCCGGAGCGCACAACGGCCGAAATGTAATAAATATAACGACAAAGATGAGAACAGTAGTCCGAATAATGTAATTAATAATAATCTCAAAGTACTGCAAAAGAAAAACGAAACATATGTTTTGTTGACTACCAACAGCAGCAACAACAAAATGGGTGCCACATGTACCTGGAAGGGAAAAGAATGACATAATCAAGATATTCACGTTTAACGCATATTACTTCGAAAAAAAATGTGAGGAAGAAAACCCCATCAATATTGGAAAAATTGGCAAGAGCTACTGGAATTAAGAAACCTATTTTTCTGAATTTTTTTACGACAAACATATTATAAACTTCAAGAAAAAAACAGTAGCGGCTACTCAGAAAATGAATTTCAAATGTTTCCTTATTGGGAAACGGTTAAAATTCCCATTATAGTTATAACTGAATACGTATGAAACATGATACAGAGTAGACAGAAACTGCAACCGGCGAAAGAAAAGTTCTAGAAATTGCTTTGAGAGCTGTAATTGCAAAATAAATCTATCGATTCGAAGGCTATATGATACATACCGTAACCTCTTTTATTTAAACGAAGGAGAGAGATTCAGTAAGTGAGATTGCTGTCTCTCCTTTCTTAACACCTCAGCTTATAAAGCTATAGAGAGATCAAAATATACTTATCTTTATTTTAAATTCCAGCCGAATCTGGAATATATTTCTATCTGATTTAATTACATTTTCCCCATCGATATTTGAATGATACGACATTAAAAAATAAAAATAAAAATGAATTGACTGTTTTTTTGTTTTGTTTTGTTTTGTTTTTTTTGTGGGAGGTCAGATTTTTTTTTAATTTAATATTCTTACTGTTGTTGAATCACTTATCTATCCGAGGAGTTGGTAATATGACTGACTGGAGGACGAAGAGTTGCTGGCCCACTTAAAGAATGAACGAACATTGCCAAGAGATGTGCATGTCATTCACCATCCTTAAGGAGTTTCGAAATGAGTGCAATACGATGGCAAACAGCAAACATGTCTTCAATGATTCACGTATAAGATGAAAAAAGCGCATATATATATATATTTATATATATATATATATATATATATATATATTAGTACTCGAATACATATACATATTTGTATATATATATATATATATATATAGTTACACTAACTCGAATGAATATACAAATGCATAAATACATGTATATATACACAGATATAAGCGCATATCCATAAATACATTAGTGCAAAAGATATATATATATATATATATATATATATATATATATATATATGTATATATATATATATATGCATAACATGTTATATGTACATAATACAAGTATATATGATTTGATGCATAGAGCTAAAAGTCATATAAATGTTATACATATCAACACACACACAAACAGACACACACATATATATATATATGGACATGTATAATATTTGTACGACGTTTATAAATATTCATAAAATCTATATATATATATATATATATATATATATATATATATATATATATATATATATATATATATATATCATTTATATATACATATTGATATATATGTATATCTATGTATGTATCTCTATCTATCTATCTATCTCTCTATCTCTCTCTCTCTCTCTCTATATATATATATATATATATATATATATATATATATATATATTTATTAATTTTTTCATATAGAGAGAAACAATTTACTAACGAAAAAATGCAACTACTTTTTTATATATACATCAAAACATATGCATATATATATGGCTATTTTTGTAGTGATTTTATAACATATTTATTTTTTTTAAATTTTTATATATAATATATATATATATATATATATATATATATATATATATATATATATTCATGTATAATATTTATATTACTTTTGTATATATGCATAATAAAGCATATACATTATAAATGTTCATAAATATTTATGCATCGCCACTTTCATGCGATATAATCGTTCGGAAGCATGTCACACTCGATCATTAACATTTGTGTAATGAGTTTGTCCTTTAATAAGTGCCAAATATTTGTGGCCCTTTGCCACATTTAATGAAGTCCCAGTAACCGATACACACACATAGTTACACTAGTACAAGCATATTTGTAAGTGTATTTATACATAGCTTTCAGTGGCCGGACGATTGCATATAGCATTAAACAGACTGTCGCCTCTAAGTGTTGACTTCTATGTTCAATTTTAGATTTACACACGCTCTATCACTGATATTGAGCACTTTATTCCATAAATATAGCACACCTTAAGACTATATTTCTTTATATATATATATATATATATATATATATATATATATATATATATATATATATATATATATATATATATATTTTTCAAATAGTAGACTCCCATGTGTTTTCTATTTATTTTTTGTTTAATATATATTTATATATATAAATATATATATATATATATATATATATATATATATATATATATATATATATATATATATATATATGTGTGTGTGTGTGTGTGTGTGTGTGTGTGTGTGTAAGCGCTATAATTACCTTCCTAGACCAACTACTAAACAAACTCATTTCAAAATGCTGGCCGGTTTTTTTTTTATTATTTAAAATCAAAAACTAAAAACGAACGGAAAAATGTATAAATAAATAAACAAATAAAATAAAATAAATAAGCAAAATAAAACAATCCATTTCAATAAACATGTAAACAAATGAACAAACTACGAAAAGCCCGCATAGACACAAAAGTAAACGCAACAATCAAAATCAACCATTATTAACGAAATTATTTTAAATTTACAAAACTAAATTGGAATCCACAATTATTTCTACTGTTTAATCGCCCCTATAATAATTTAAAATATAACCGTTACCGCGCACAATATAACCGCTAGAATAATACAGTAGACCTCCCTATAATGCACCATTGACCAGTATATATAGACAAATCACCAACTGCCAAGACACGACGTGTGTGTGCCTGAAGTTTGTGTGTGTGTGTGTGTTTTTACCTCAATAGTTACACACACACACACACACACACACAAACACACAAACACACACAAAACACACACACAAAACAATTTTTTTACAAATTATTTATATATATATATATATATATATATATATATATATGGGGATGATGATTTCGTTTTAATGAAAACTAAAACGAATGTTCGGAAAAATGTATTCATAAATATCCAAATATTGAGCATTTAAAAAATAAATAATTTCTTCATAAATAAAACAACAAAAATTTCAATAAACACTGGTAAAAAAATGAACAAAACTTAGGTTTATAATACTCAAAGTTCATACCACAAATGTCCTCGCAACAATAAAGGCGTTGGTTAATCCATGACAACCACAAAAGATGAGTTCAATTCAATGGAGAACTTTCAGAGGAAAAATTATGAGATAACTAAAAACTGAATCCATAAAACATGGTGTTCGAAATTTCTACCACCTGAAGTGGCAAATAAACGACAAAGATGAGGACAATAGTCCGACAATTATTTCTACTGTTTAATCTCAGAAATATAATAATTTATAAATATATATATAGTAACAAATGGACAAAGTCCGACACCGCTACAATTATTTTCATTTGATACGAGGAGCAGTTATAAATGTACGAGATTGTGGAGGATTTATAGCACAAATCAACAACTGCCAAGAGCGGTCAAAGCGTAAATGATGGTTCCATGAATGCAGGTTCGAATCCTTTAAAAGACATGAATCATACTATTTCTCGACATTCAGGCTGGTAAATTTATTTCACTGTTTATTATAAACAGAGCATTTACAAATAAACACATCAAAAAAAAGAACGTTAAACATAAAATGTCTTTAATATATATATATATATATATATATATATATATATATATATATATATATATATATATATAATGATGGGGATTAATCAATGATTTCGTTTAAACAAAACATTTTCTTATGGAGTGTACTGAAAAGTCTGGTCTACAGGATGAAACCAAGAACAATTTCTCAATGGAAACAAGCACTTTTTGATAAACTTTATGAGTGTAGAAATGAGTCAAATGTTTTATAACAGTTTTCCTGATCCCAACGAATTTTTTGTAGGGAGCATTTTTGAAATGTTTATAGATTTTAGGACAAATGATGATTTATTTTGATATGTAAGTACCTATAAATTTATCCATAAAATTATCTATCTATCTATCTATATTCTGTTCATTATCTAACTATCTATCTATATATTTATCTATAGAATGCAGCAATGATCTCTTTTCGTTCACAAGCATATCTATCTATCTATCTATCTATCTGTCTGTCTGTCTGTCTGTCTGTCTGTCTTTATACTAGGAAGCTAAAAGGATCCCTTTTCGCCCACAATGATAGTTATCTATCTATCTTCTGTTCATTATCTATCTATCTATTAAGCTAGAGAAAGGATCACTTTTCTTTCTCAAACACATCTATCTATCTATCTATCTATCTATCTATTCATTATCTATCTATCTATTAAGCTAGAAAAGGATCTCTTTTCTTTCTCAAACACATCTATCTATCTATCTATCTATCTATCTATCTATCTTCTGTTCCTTGTCTATCTATCTATTAGGCTACAAAAAGGATCTCTTTTCTTTCTCAAACACATCTATCTATCTATCTATCTATCTTCTGTTCCTTGTCTATCTATCTATATTACAAAAAGGATCTACAAACACATCTATCTATCTATCTATCTCTTTTCTTCTATCTATCTATCTATCTATATATTAAGATTCTGTTTTAGTCCTTGTCTATCTATCTATCTATATATTAAGATGCTAAAAGGATGCTACCAAAAGGATAGGTATTTTCTTTCTCAAACACATCTATCCTTTTATCTATCTATCTATCTTCTGTTATCTGTCTCTATCTTCTGTCTATCTATTATCTATTACAAAAAGGATCTCTTTTCTTTCTCAAACATATCTATCTATCTATCTATATATATATATATATATATATATATATATATATATATATATATATATATATTAAGATGCAAAAGGATCCCTTTTAGTCCACAAGGAAAGGTATCTATCTATCTCTATCTATCTATCTATCTTCTGTTCATTATCTATCTATCTATTAGGCTACAAAAAGGATCTCTTTTCTTTCTCAAACATATCTATCTATCTATCTATCTATCTATCTATTATAATGCTGAAAAGATCTCTTTTCGATCTACTTCCCAGTGGAAAATGGAGGTTAAAATTAAGGTGGAGGAATAAAGAGAGGAGAAAATAAATAGAGAAGGAATATAAAGAGAGATAATGTAATAGAAAAATAGTGAAGAACATAAGTTAATACGGGAGAAAATAGTAAACAAAAAAAACGAAACAGTAAATAAATAAAGAGAGAAGGAAGAAAAAAAATGAAATGCGACGAGTGAGAGTCTAAAATATATAAAAAAAAGAGAAAATGAAACATTTTAGAACAAAATGGGAAAAACAAGACGAAGCGTATGAAGAACAATAAATAAAATGGAAATAAAACTGAAAAGCAAATAAGCAATATAAGAAGAAAAAAAACAAATTCAAATTAAATATTGTTTCTTATTTTTTTAAACTGTTTTTTTTTAACTGTTTCTTGTCATCATTTTTTTGCGCTCCGAACTCGTTTTACTAATTACTTTTTTGTCCTTTCCTCGGGCAAATAAGATGTTCGATAGAATTAGGAGACGGTGAAACTTACATCTACTTTCCATACCGTACGTAAAACCTCGATGTAGATATCTCAGTATGTAAAATGACATTGCATAAGAAGAATATTTCTATGCTAATGTAATACATATGGCCTTATGTAATGAAGCTTACACAATACATTGAGTTAGCGCTAACATATCTTTTTTATATAAAAATAAACATGTCATTATTTAAAGCATAACCCATACATTTACACATGCAAATTTATTATTCATTATATATTATATAATATATTTATTATTATTTATTATACCGTATATATTATATCTGTATTATATATTAATATGACGATAAAGTACATCCGGCAGCAAGGCCTCGCATCCGGAGGTTTTGAGGAACGTGGAGCCACATCTTAATTGCTATTGTCCCGATGTCTACCCTGAGCTTGGGGGGGAAATAATTGTTAGGGTTCCAGCTATAGTCAAATAGTTAACCCCCAAACTATGCTCAAAGTGCGATGAAAGTATAAAGATATATTTTTATAGTAAAAACATATTACCAATTTTTATAGTAAAAAAATATTACCAATATATTTTTGGCAAAAATATTACCAGAAATACATTTTTGTAAGAAAAATTACTAATGCTACCAAGAAAATTAAATTTCGGCATTAAATGACCCATAACGAGTTAATATGCCACTAAACAAACAAGCAAAATCTGTGTTATATATTAAATTTATTATTGTATGGGATTTAAAATAAAGATATAAATAAGTGAAATCATTATTTCTGGGAGGAAAATGTAACAAGTGCACGCTATTATCCATTCTGAAACTGATTCCAGATTCCAAGAACTCCAGGCTCCATTCCGTAGTGCAATGGCCATTTTGAAATCTCCTGCTACTTCTTTTATATGCAAAATTCCGTCAGGACATGAGCGATAATAGCTCTCCTCAACTTCCTATCTTTTTTTTCTTTAAATAATCTGTTAGGACTCTGTCCATGCTCTTCCACGCATAAAAATAAACTTGTTAAACGTGTTTGTAATATTTTGTCTTCTTCACCCTAAGAAGAGGCTACAAAGCCAACAAAACACAAGGGGTACCTGAGTATGAAAGAAAAAGAAAAATATTATTATGGTGCGAGAACAATAAAAGAAGAGGAATTAAGGAGACAGTAGATAACGATTGTTATAGCATTCAGATTTTTGAAAATCTAGGTTAGCTGAAAAGCAAGAAGCCAATATAGAGTTCCACAGGCGAGAAATACGGGGAAAAGATTCTGTTAGCAAAGAATATGCGATGATATCTAGCCATTTTGACTACTGAGTTGCCAATCTTGTACTGAGCTTAAATTCATAATGTCTATTATTTATATTATTCAGACTATTGTCCTCATCTTTGTCGCCATATTTATCACAACGTTTCGGCCGTTGTACGCTCCGGCCTTCGTCAGGTTGTTGGAATTTCGAACTGAACCCTTTATTTCGCTCACTGGGATAGACTGTTCTAGTTCCACTTGCCATATTTGATGGATATCAGTTATCAGTTATCTCCTACTAATTTCCTCTAAATGTTCTCCACTGCCTTAACCAGGTATTGAACTCAAACTCTTTGGGTGCTGTTACTGGATCTAACCAACGCCTTTATCCACTGTGCCAGGTGTCCTTGAGAAATATAGACAGATTCATAATGTCTTTGTACCATATAGCTCACCTGAACATTTACCATGAAAGTATTTATAGAAAAAGAACAGGGAAACTACATTATATTATTAAAGTGACTGAGGCTGGGATGCCAGGTCAGGACCAATAACATTACAGATTCTTCTTTCGGTTTTATTAAGAATCTCGAAATATATAGCAGGAATACCAGACTATAAATGGCAGGAATATTCAAAGCAACGATGAAAAGTAGACTGGCAAGAAAACTAGTCTAGCACAATAATGTGAACCAACTTTTCTAACTGCAGACTTAGAAACTGATTCAATAACTCTTTGTACTTTATATCAGCAGAGGACATTAGACAGAGAAGGCACAACAATTGACTCTCCCGACATGAATTTGAACTCGGCTCGCCAATTCT